ATGTAAACTTTTAAGACATTGTCTCAGATGTGGTCAGTCATTCATTCAAAATCTTTGGATACCAGGGTGAGTGAGTGGTCTTGTGGTGAATACTGCATCCCACACCATAGTGCCTGGGTTTGATGCTTGCCTTTGGCTCCTGACTCCACTCTTCTGCCAGTGTAGACCTTGGGAGACAATGGTGCTGGCTCAAGTAGCTGGGCTCTGGCCATCTACATGGGAGACCTGGATTGTGTTCTGGCCTCTACCTTCAGCCCCAACCCCAGCCCAGTCCAGGTTGTTGGGAGCACTGGGGAAGTGAACCAGTGGATAGGAGCTTTCTCCCTTTGTCCATGCCTGTACTGATGGAACAAAAACATAAAAATAATAATAAAGACTTATTGTGGGAAGCAACTGATTGAGGCCATAGTCAAGGGTGGAAAGACTTCATCAGAGCAGTTAGAGTGTTCAGAGTTAGCTTTATTGAACAGTCTGAAAGGGAGCAGCAGGAAGATAGGACAGCCAGAGGCAGAGTGCTGCTGCTGCAACATGGAATATAACCCAGATACATACATACACATACATACATACATGCACATACATGGCAGATTGCTGCAAGCTAGAGAGTTCCCTGTCACTAGTAACTTCCTTGTTGCTAGGGGCTGTCCTGTCAGTAGGGCTTTCCTTTTTACCAGATGCCCAGGTGACCTCCATACCTATCCTGAAGCATGTCCTGGTCAGTTGTGCCCCCATCTTGCTTGGTTGACTCCTAAGACTCAACGTGTATTCACATAGCCACACTCAGGGCTGTCAGTTATCACAGCATAGCTTGGGACACAGGGAAAGGATACACAGCAAAATCAGTAAAGAGAAAAGCCACTTAGGCAACATCTGTGGTTCCAAGAGCCTTTCTAGACACACAAGACACATCTGATTTCCCCAGCAATAAGAAATGAGTTGTGATAACACATGTGAAACCTTGTCTATCAGGAAAGTTCGTTAGAAACTCAATCCCCAAGTTTTTACTGGAGGTTGGTCACATACCTGCCTTCTTTGTAGAATGTACCCAAATTCCAGACTCCTGGAAGAAGGCTGGAGTTCAGCATAAAGCACATCATTTGCACAATCATTGTAGGCACCAAGAGCCTTCTTCACTAGTAGTTTATCAATTACTGTAATCAAAGAAAATATCTTAAGCATGTTAAGATCACTTTGTATGTTGTACAGAAAGGGCATTTTTATAACTTTCTTTCTCTCTTATGTCCAAATGGCAGTCATTAGATGTAGTTAATGTCTTCATGAGCTGTCTGATTAATGACCATAGCCAAATATGTTGGAGAAAATTAGCTTTGAAGGTTTTCTATTGTTGTTGAGTTAACATACAATAGACAGAAAGCAAACAGTCTGCTCCACCAGACATTCAGATATCCCTCCTGTTGCTTTTGTTTTCTCTACAGCTGGGAAGGGAAGAATTGTATTGCATATACCCCTTCATCTGGCTTCTGAATGATTCATTTTGGTGCTGAAATGAAGAATAATATAAAATCTTTTTATGAGCTTGAAAGCCCTGAACTGCATAGGAATAATTTCCAATATGGATAACCAAGCCTGTTTTCCTAATCTTTCTTCATGGGAAACAACCATTTTGACTTGTTTTATCTTCTCTCAAAATCATTTGGAAATAAGATCAAAATCCATGCCAACTTCATTCTTGAGACTCAATGAACTAGGTATTTCTGAATTATGAACATACAGTACCATTTCCTGTGCATGTGACCAGGTAGCCTTGCTTATTCCTGGCATACTTAAGAAAAAGAATTGGGTTTGAAATGGCAACCAAAAGGAGCAACAAAAAGGATATTTATGGAGGCCGGGGTCTCAAGCTCACAAATTGTCTCATTAGAAACCCCCTCAGGCCCTTTCTGAAAGTCTGTTTACTCTTTGTAAACACAATTAGAGGGAGCAGGTGATTGGCTTTGGAAGTTTGAGGCAGCAATTCCAGGGAGGAGCAAGCCTGGGGGAGGGGGGAGAGGAACAGGCCCCAGACCTCTGTGGTAGCTGTCAGTGGGAGTGCTGAACCAAGGAAGAAAACATCATGAAGGGGCTGCTAAACAGTGGAGAGCACAGCCCCACAGCTGGCTGCAGACTTAACCTTATGAGTGCCGGAGTGTGCATGCGTGCTTGTGTGTATGAGATCTGCCTACATCTGCATTTGCCATCCCCAGGGATCCCACTGTATGGATGCATCTGAATGTTCACTGCCCAAGGAGAGTTGAACGCATTCATCAGACGCCTCAAATTTCAAGTGCAGTGGGGGAATTATAGACTTTATTTTCCCTAATATATACAGCTTCTCCTTTGTTCTCTAGAGTAAGAGGGCTGGGAGAATACAAAGCAAGTTGAGAAATAGACTCCTATGCATTTACTTCCTGCCCAGGGCTCGGACCCCAAGGGCTGATGGGAGTTAATGAGCCTAATGGGAATTTGGGGAAGTGCTATTTTGTCCTATATTAAGAGTGTCTAGGTAAAACCAGTATGAGAGAAGAGAAAGTGATACCTGTTTAAAAGAAGCCATTTTCTTTTATATTACATTAAAATTCTGTTTGGGAGATTTCAAGGAGACTAATTCTTTGAAGTGCTAGGTGTGCTTCCTCATTTACGCTTTTGAGGATTCACAGGTTTCTGGTTATAGCCATTCCTTCTGTGTATGTTTTTTTTTTTTTTTTTTAAACATTTTTCTCTCTGGAACCAATTAATCCACTTACTACATTATGTTTGCCACCATTTCTTATCTAGACTGGCATCCAATCAAAGATCCCAGATAGGTTTTCCATTGTTCCTCCATAGCTTTTTGTATTCACCCAGTTGTGTCAGTGCAATGCCCTGCTGAGAGCCACAGATGTCTGCCTCTGAACTTGAGCTGAGTGGAAGCTAAGAGATCTAATCTGGTGTTTTCAAAATTTTATTGCTTGCCTTTGTTGTAAGCAGCCTCATATATTTTTGATAATGAGGCAGTGTATCTAAATAAAGCCAATAAAATTGCTTTATGTAGCTTTGCAGAATCATAGGTCTTAGGGCCTGACACCTCCTCAACAAAAGGTGCCTGCTTTTGCAGGTAAGGTATTTTCATTCTCATTTAAAATATGGGATAACTAAAACAGAGAGAGTTTTATGAATTCTGGGTACTACAACCAGCAAACCTAATAGAAAGAATTCCTGCCTGTCTGTCCTTGTATAGTAGTTTTTCCATTGCTTCATTCTGCCTGGTCTGAAGAGTTTATCAGCAACTCATTCATTCACTCAATCAGTCCAGGAACATCTAGTGTTCAATGGGGCAACCTTGTTACAAAAGACATTTTCTATAGTGATGTGTACAATGCTGGATAGATGTGCTTCTTGAACCCTTGGTGTGGAAGGGGAGGCAGACGGACCATACTCACCCATTATATATGTGGGTTCTTTTTAAGCTTACAAATTCAATAAATTGAACACAATGCTGTATTTCTCTGGCTCCTGAACTCCTTCCCGTGGAGTTTTGGTTGTTTTGGTCTCTGGTCTTTCAAGCTTTACATGGAGACAACATAGTAATATTTCTCTCTCTGGACTCTATCCACTAAGGCCTTAGGCAGGAGGGCATCTTTTCACTCTGAAAACAAAAAACATCCTCATTGTTGAAGAATTATGAACATCTTTCTGAGTTGAAAGGAGCCATCAAACTGTTAAAATCTTAGTATATACCAAGTTGATCTTCTGTATATAAAGATAATTGAAAATGAATCTTGATGAAGAATGGGATGAGGGAGGGAGTGGGAGATGGCATGGTTGTGGGTGGGAGAGAGGTTATGGGGGGAAAAGCTGCTATAATCCAAAAGTTGTACTTTCAAAATTTGTATTTATTAAATAATTTTTTTGAAAAAGAGCCATCATAACTATATTTAGTATTGGGAGTCGACAGTGTTGTAAGCTGCATTGAATACAGTTTAGTTTTTTTGAAATGTTTTTATGTTGTGAGGAACATCACAAATATAATTTAATCATTTCTCTCTTAGCCCTTTTTGAGCCCATGTCCCACCAGTTCCAAAGCCTGTCAATTTATATCGGAACGCATACCCTACCAGTTATAAAGCCTGTTGTTTCATATCTTCTGATGGTGGCTGCATAGAAGAAAGCTGTCCTTGTTCAGAAACTGAATTTCCAATACTTTTGGCACATCTTCCCCTGCTGACCTACCAAAATGAAAGACTAGGAGTAATGATTAAATCTAATTTTCCCTCCTGTAGTGGTCGGATGAGCTGGGTCAGCAAGGCCAGTCCCTGCGGTGGGCTTTAAAATACCTCTGTGATGGGGTCTCCTTGCCTTTCCATCCATTTCTATAAATGCCTATCACTGTCATCCTTTACCACCCTGATGAGATCCCAAGGTGAGAACGGCACAAATGAACAGGCTCATGTGTCATGACTCCTGAAGGCGTTGCTGATTCAATGACTTGAGTGAGGAACCAGTTGGGGTCACAAACTTAGCACCGTTACAGAAAGATAATTCCATGTATTACTTAACCCGTTCAAATGCATTGTTGTCTCTTTGCTGCCCAGCATAAGTCATGTGAAATTAATATAAGCTTACACACTAATGTCTGACTTTTATTTTCAAATAAACTCAAGACCGCTGGTTTCTATTCCTTTGTTTGGATTCTAGCTTGCTTTCTCAGGATAGCTAAAGGATATTTATGAAGGGTGTGTGTGGAGGAGTGAGGGAAGGGAATAAAAATGCATTGCTGCAGGGCTGCACATCTGTTTGAGGATCTCTGTGAGGTCTGCATGTTTGCCATTGTCACGGCTTCTGCTGTATCCTGGGATCCCATTCCACTCAGAGATACTTGTGCCAACTCGAAACGGTCCATGTAGTCAGGCATCACTGTTGGTTTCCTTTCCCTACAACTAGCAGAGCTGTTTTTTCTTCTTCAGTAGCTACCACATATATGATTCACAAGTGTAAAGACATTTTCTTTCTTTTTCAAACAGATTGGCAGTATGAAGTTGCCCAGGCCATCCCTCAAACAGAAGAGGTAGAAGTGGACTCACACGCCTACAGCCACAGGTGGAAAAGGAGCCTGGACTCCCTCAAGGGGATAGATACGAATCGGGCCAGCATGGGTCAAGACGCCCCAGATCCCAGAGGCTTCACCGACCTGCTTCTGGACGATGGGCAGGACAACAACACTCAGATTGAGGTACGTGAAGGTTCTGGGTAATTGAGATGAATGAATGAGTCTGTTTCCTGTAAGGTGCTCAACTTCTACATAGACATGTTATTCCTGCATTTCAGTCTAGAGCTTTTGGGCTGTTGATGAAATACAATTCCTTGATAAAAATAGTAGCCAAATCCTTTAATCATCCATTACCAATGAAACAGACAAACCTGGGCTTGGGGTGGTGATGACAGTCAGGGGACAGTACAGCGCTTGGTCTTAGTGAGTTTGTTGTCTAAGAGGGTTTGAAAGCCAGAAGCAAATATTATGAGACCTGGATGAAATAATTGCTGAATCAGATAGCATGGGATATGTACAAAAAAGCACACAGGCTGTGCAGTATGCCATGGGTGTGGTCAACCCCACTTTGAGATGGGGATTGCATGTGGTCTATGAGGGTTTGCCTGGGAATATGAACATTTAGGAGTGGCCTTGGAAGATTGAGAGAGCTTTACCTAGCTGATAACCTGTTAATAGGAGGCAGGAAGAACTTCCTTGCAAGGGTGAGTTACATTTGAGGGTTGTGAACAGATTAGCATGTTGAGCACTCTTGAAGGATGACGGGATGTCCCAGTTTGCCTGGGTCTGAGGATTTTCCTGGGACATGGGACTTCTGCTTGAAATGGGACAGGTCTGGGAAAACTAGGATGATTGGTCACTTTGTTACTGGAAGTTCATTCTTTGTTCACTTCGCAGAGCTGTGAAAGGGAGGAGGAGGAGGATGGCAGGCTGGCGTGGTGAGTGTAGAGTTTGAAGAGAGGGCACGATTTGGAGGGGTTTTGAGGATCACTCAGAGGACCCAAAGGCAGAGTTACAGTTCTTGAGTTTCCATAGTTGCTGACATTGCAGACCATAAAATATGACTTTGCTTATAAACTAGATAGGATTAAAAACAAACAAGTAACTCCTGTAGAAATAAGTGAAGACCGCCCAGTGAGCACAAACAAATGCTGTTGATTCTGTTTGCTCCAGCAAAGGGGTCGGCCACCACTGACTCATCTTTGGCAGAGACTCAAAGGCAGGTAGGTGAGTGGGAAAATTCGTATTGAACAATGAGAAGGCCTATGTATGCTCCGATTATAAGTTGTTGGTGTAGGGAAGCTGAAGGTGGGCTAGTTTGAAACAGAGAATCTTATGTGCTTAGCTTGGAGAACAGAGCAGCTTTCTATGGTTGGACCTGAACTGGAAGTAGGGACAAAAACCAGGGAAGCTCCATTTTAAATCATTTCCTGACCATTGTGGGATGACTGCTGCCAGGGTTGTGATGGGCCTTCTTGGATTTGCGCTGTGGAGCTGGGAGTCCAGCATTGTCATACATTCTCGTGCAACCTCCTTCTCTCCCAGGTGGCTGGCTTATAATTTTCACAAGCTACACACCATTCTTTCCACTGCATCACAGTTCCTGAAATTCTCATTATTTAGAAAAAGAGTTCAACTTCATGCAGCAGATACTACATAGCCCTGCAAATAGTGTCAAGGCATCATTTTGTTCCCGCATGATGAGAAGGATCTTCAGATGACTTGAAGTACTAGCAGCTGAAATTCTGGTTGTGTGAGAAACTTAGCAATGTGTGTAAGCCCTGTCCATGCCATGGATGATCTGTGGCTATGGTGTTCCCTGGCTGCCACAGCCAGACCCCTTACCCAGCAGCAGAGGATGCATCGGGAGCAGAAGTCATATACTGCCTTTAAGAGGCTATGTGATTCCTGCAGGGTGTCTTGCTCTTTTGACAGCAGTGTTGTTATAGCAACACCGAGTGGGCAACATAATTCCTCCTGAGCCACTCTTTAGCTGGGGTGCAGCATAAGAAAAGCAGAGCCACACAGAAAGAAACAGAGCCACCTGTGCTCTGCCCAGGAGTGACCTGACTCGGATTCCAAGGAGGGAACACAGGTTCCTCCAGCTCTGCCATCTTGCCTGTAGGCCACTGAGCTTTCCTAGTCCCTTGTGAAATAGAAAGTCTCTGTGCTCGGGGGTGTATTACCTCTCTTCAAAAGTAGCCCGGGTGTTAACTACAGCTGATTTTTGTGATTCAGTCAAGTTTTCTCTTTTTTACTTTACCAGAGAGAGACCATAGAAAGTCCATAGATTTGAATCAGCAAAAAGGAAGAGGAAGAGTGGCTCAAGGAACTTGGGTGGTAGATCTTCCCTTGGTACTAAGATCTGCCACGTGCTGGATGGGCACCATCTAGCTTAGTCCTTCCAGCAGTCCCCAGGCTCATGGGGCAGTCTCAGTGCAGTTTTTCAGCTTTTGCTTTAGCGTTGCCCTAGCATCTCCCGTTCATGAGTAAAGGGGTTGGTGTTCACACCCAGGCTTGCCAGGCTCCCACTTTATCCCTTTGACTTGACTTTGCTCTCTCTAACAAAAGGAGAGCAAATGGCATTTGCATTAGTAATGACTTTGGACAGTGACAGCCCCCAGATATTCATAGGAAAGTAACTTTGGGGTTTCAGTCTGGCTGGAAAGTTGAGGGGAAATGGGAGAGAGAGATAATCATTCCATCCACTCATTTACTTGCCAACCGCCCACAATAGCCAGGGTTGGGCCAGGCTGAAGCCTGGAACCCAGAACTCAATCCAGGTCTCCCATGTGGATGGTAAGGGCCCAGCTACTTGAGTCCTCACCTGCTACCTTCCAGGCTGCACATTTATAGGAAACTGAGATCAGGCTCAGAGCCGGAACTTGAATCCAGGTGCTCTAACATGGGACGCGGGCATACCAAGCGCTGCACCAAAAGCCCACCCCAGGAGTCTTGTCTTGAAGAAGGAGTCACATAATAAGAGCACTGCCTTTTTTTTTTTTTTTTTGACAGGCAGAGTGGACAGTGAGAGAGAGAGACAGAGAGAAAGGTCTTCCTTTTGCCGTTGGTTCACCCTCCAATTGCTGCCACGGCCGGCACGCTGCGGCCGGCGCACCGCGCTGATCCGATGGCAGGAGCCAGGTGCTTCTCCTGGTCTCCCATGGGGTGCAGGGCCCAAGCACCTGGGCCATCCTCCACTGCACTCCCTGGCCACAGCAGAGAGCTGGCCTGGAAGAGGGGCAACTGGGACAGAATCCGGTGCCCCAACCGGGACTAGAACCCAGTGTGCCGGCGCCGCAAGGCGGAGGATTAGCCTAGTGAGCCGCAGCGCCGGCCTGAGCACTGCCTTATTTCAAGAGTCATTTATGTTGCTGGGGTTCCGGGGGTTGATGGAGATAGTGGGAATCAAAAGTTTCCCAAGTGACTTCTTGGCACTGCCATGGTTTTAGAAACCAAACCTGTGTCTGCGATTTCTCTGGAGAGTTTTGCTCATCCTGGCCCTTGAAATAGTAATTTTGAACAGTGCTGCATCACTTTTGGGGAAAATAACTTTCACACAATTGAGCTAAACTGGAATAGGAGATAATGGAACTAAATGGTTGTAGAGTAACTACTCTCTGGTGAGCATTGTGACAAAAGTCTTTCTTATTGTTTGGAAATAAGCATTTTGGGTTATGTTGCTGAATATAGGCATGAGTACGAAAGACTGTGTGTTTTGTCCTTTAGTGTTAGGGATCAGAATTATTTTGTGCAGCATCTGTAGCTCTAGTTGTAGCTGTTAACACCATTTATGTCACAGTGAGTACAAAACCATCCAGAACAGCCTCCCTGTCTGTGTCGTCTTCATGACTCCCACCGTCTAGACTTTTACATCCCACTTTCACCAAGCCTCCCAAACAAAGGCACCAAAACCCAAAAGAATACAATACTGTGTTTAGTGTTCTGCCACAAATTCCTTCTGAAACAAACAAAGGCTGTCATTCTCTTAACCCGGTACTGAGAGCCAGAAATTTTTCTGGCTCTGCGAAAGTGCAGATAATGGAAGGACTGGGAAACTTAGTCTGCCCCAGTGGAAGAATTCTTCCAATGGAAATTTGTTTGTTGTTGACTGTCTTTGGTACTCTTTCCACAAAGACACAGAGATGTGTCCAAGACGACTGTATTTCCTGTCACATAAGCAGGAGCCCTGCAGCTGGCAGATCGGAGCAGCTGCCACTGTTGATGTGAATGTTGATTTCCTTGGCACCTTTCCTCTTGAAGCCATCGCTTGGCCTTGTTTGAGCAGCCTCTGGGGAATCCTGTGGCTCCAGGGGCATGAGTGCAGATGGGCAGCTCAGGGGGTGCATCTTCACCTCCAGGCTGGCTGCCCTTCCAGGTCCTGGCCTGCAGCCCGTGGCACCACAGCAGCATGTCAGGAAGGGAAGGTCCTCACCGCTGTTTGTTGGGAACGACTCGTGCCTCAGGAAGCTTCGTTTCACCAGCCTATTCCTGCAGGGGCCGCTCACAGTCCTCAGCTTTACAGGAATCAATCACAAACTCTCTGTGACACACTGGACCAAGTATGTGCATTTGTGTCACTCACTCACCTGCAGTATTTCCAAGTATTGCAGTTCCTCTCTTGAGACAGAAGGTTTGTGAAAGGAATTGTAGGGTATGGTTTTTGCCTTGATTCTCAAGCCCTGGGATGACCTAAAGAAGGAGGTTTTATACATTGAGCTTATAGATCATAACCATGTAGCTTCATAATCCAAACTGACTCAGAACTTGTGAGCGAGGTCATTTCCTCTGAATCTCTAACGTGCGTACAGATCACCTGGGACTCAGGTTCAGAGGCACGTCCTGATTTTTCAGTGCTAGGCTGGAGCTCGTCCTTTGCACTGTGTTTCTAACAAGTTCCCAGGTGACATAGCTACACTGTTGAGTTGCAAAGAACTATCCCACCAAGCAGATTTAGCTACTGGTTTGCAGGATATAAATATTCCTAAAGATCTTAAATTAAATCTGAGTGCTTATCAACAGTGTGTCCTGTGGAGTTCTCATTCTGGAACTAAATTAAAAATCAGAGGGCTGGGTATATGGTGCAGTGGTTAAGTTGTCTCTTGGGAAACCTGCATAAGATATGAGAGTGACTGGTTGGAGTCCTGGCTTCTCCACATCTGATGTATCTTCCTGCTAATGCA